CTTATATAAGCGAGAAAATTATGACAGAGTTTAGACACCACCAACATAATGGACTGTACTTATTTGTTGGGTCTCTGTGTTGGGTGCTTGTGATTGACCTTCTCCTCAGGGTGTGTTTGGCAAGATGAGTTTCCAGATGATGCCACTTTGCTGCAATCAGGAGGCATTATTTAGAGGAGTGGATTTCTAGGACGGACGCCAGTTGGTTAACTTCCACGCCGTGGTAACTTACCCACCTGCTCCTCTCATTCTGATTTTTTTTTTTGGTGTGAACTTACCTTCCTTGTCCTCCTTCATTTCAGAGTCCATCTCCCTCACTGCCTCCTGCATCCATCCAAAGAGCTCATCTGCCTGACCACCCATCAGAGAAAGAGAAAGTGAGTCACTGCCGCCCGATTGGATTCCCACTATGCCTGAAAGACTCAGGTTCCCCCCCGGACAAATCCCCGCTTATGAAAACTGTAAGGCCTGCACAAACTTTTCTCACATCTAAGCTTCCTCCTGAAGCCGCATTTCTCACTGAATCTCTTCCCCCAGAATGATCCAATCTAAACCACCCTGGTGGCCCCATTTCTAGGACAACCAAACTCTGTGTTTTTCCAGAAAATAAACCTCTGAAACGACTTACCTTTGTCTGACTGTGATTGTGCCTGCTCCAGAGTCGATCGTAGCATCATGTCATTATTGTACTACTTACTTCCATTCCTAATGAACCTTAGGTCCATTTAAAGATTGACTGTTTATACATCAGTTTAAGTTAAACAATAATAAAACACTTGATGCAGTCACTTACATTTTTACATCAAACCACGGACACAGATCATGCTGTTATTTGCCCATGGATGTAGCAGATAAAGCTAATTATAGAGGTTCTAGCCTTTTTATAACCCCACAAAAACTCCTGAGGTTTCCAAGTACAACTTTACCGAGAGCTCTTAAAGCAGCAAGTAAGTGTTATTGAGTTTTAGCTGTTGTTTTTTTATTTATTTTTTTGTCCAAAAGAAAAGCCATGCATTTGTAGTTTTATAAGTAGCCATTGTATGCTTGACTAAATAAAGTAGTTTAATTGTACATTAAAAATCTTAGGTTTGAAAAAAGAAAACTAGCACCATTTGAAGATCTGCCTGCTTCCTGATCAAAATGGAGAAATAACTGCAATAATTACTGTTTAACCAACATTTTCTTTAGGGTTGGAATAACAAGTATTACCCTAGTTTGAATGCTAAGTTACCTTGTCACACAGCCCAAATGGTTGACTTGTGAATGGCGACACAACTCTGAAGCCATCTACAGGAATGGAAAGAGCAGATTGTCTTCTGCGTTTGCAGCAACATCCTACAGTACATACACTATATTGCCAAAAGTATTTGCTCACCCATCCAAATTATTGGAATCAGGTGTTCCAATCACTTCCATGGCCACAGGTGTATAAATTCAAGCACCTAGGCATGCAGACTGTTTTTACAAACATTTGTGAAAGAATGGGTCGCTCTCAGGAGCTCAGTGAATTCCAGCGTGGAACTGTGATAGGATGCCACCTGTGCAACAAATCCAGTCGTGAAATTTCCTCGCTCCTAAATATTCCACAGTCAACTGTCAGCTGTATTATAAGAAAATGGAAGTGTTTGGGAACGACAGCAACTCAGCCACGAAGTGGTAGGCCACGTAAACTGACGGAGCGGGGTCAGCGGATGCTGACGCGCATAGTGCGAAGAGGTCGCCAACTTTCTGCAGAGTCAATCACTACAGACCTCCAAACTTCATGTGGCCTTCAGATTAGCTCAAGAACAGTGCGCAGAGAGCTTCATGGAATGGGTTTCCATGGTCGAGCAGCTGCATCCAAGCCATACATCACCAAGTGCAATGCAAAGCGTCGGATGCGGTGGTGTAAAGCACGCCGCCACTGGACTCTAGAGCAGTGGAGACGCGTTCTCTGGAGTGACGAATCGCGCTTCTCCATCTGGCAATCTGATGGACGGGTCTGGGTTTGGCGGTTGCCAGGAGAACGGTACTTGTCTGACTGCATTGTGCCAAGTGTAAAGTTTGGTGGAGGGGGGATTATGGTGTGGGGTTGTTTTTCAGGAGCTGGGCTTGGCCCCTTAGTTCCAGTGAAAGGAACTCTGAATGCTTCAGCATACCAAGACATTTTGGACAATTCCATGCTCCCAACTTTGTGGGAACAGTTTGGAGCTGGCCCCTTCCTCTTCCAACATGACTGTGCACCAGTGCACAAAGCAAGGTCCATAAAGACATGGATGACAGAGTCTGGTGTGGATGAACTTGACTGGCCTGCACAGAGTCCTGACCTCAACCCGATAGAACACCTTTGGGATGAATTAGAGCGGAGACTGAGAGCCAGGCCTTCTCGTCCAACATCAGTGTGCGACCTCACAAATGCGCTTCTGGAAGAATGGTCCAAAATTCCCATAAACACACTCCTAAACCTTGTGGACAGCCTTCCCAGAAGAGTTGAAGCTGTTCTAGCTGCAAAGGGTGGACCGACGTCATATTGAACCCTATGGATTAGGAACGGGATGTCACTTAAGCTCATATGTGAGTCAAGGCAGGTGAGCAAATACTTTTGGCAATATAGTGTATCTTCTATAAATCTGTTGTGAAGGGTGTGGTCTCTTCTTCTTCCATCCTCTGCTGGGGTAACAGTATTAGAGCTAATGACTTACAAAAGCTCAACAAGGTGACTTACAAAAGCTCAGCTTCTAAGAAATCCTCTAGAACCCCATTAAACTATTTCATAAGGAAAGATCCTTCATAAAGTGAAGAACATTATGGACAACAGTGAGAATCCTCTTCAGAAGTTTTTTAAACAGGAACAGGGTGTCCTGAGTCAGAAGCTTCTCCAGATCTGGTGCAAGACAGACCGCTACAGAAGATCCTTCCTGCGTACAGCTATCATCACCTAAAAAACATGTTTTTTTCTTTTTTATGGCACTGGTGGCCCGTTTTTACGGACAGTAGGCCGACAGGTAAGGAGGTACGAGAGAGGCAGGAAAGGACCATAGGCCAGATTCGGACCCGAGTCGCTCACCCGAGTGTGTGCTAACCGCTGCGCCACCAAAGCCTGCCAAACGTTAGTTTTCTGTGCAGTCCTTTTCCTTCTGCACAACACACGTTTTAAAGAATAACGTTTGATTTACTGCAACATTTAATTTCTTTTTGGGATTAATCAAATGTTAATCCCAAAAAGAATTAAGCCTTTTAGGTTCATATATGATGCGCTTCCCTGGTTGTTCCATGTTGTTTTTTCTTCTGCTTCATAACGATTTAGAGTTTGTGGATACAGTATGACTAAAAATAATTTCAGAAGGTGGAAATGGATTGATTGGGTGAGCTCCATCACTATATAAATGAGCTAGCACCCAAAAATCAACAATAAATTGTTCCCCTATCCAGTAACTGTGGTAAGTTTTGGTGAATTTTGCCTGATGTTTCTACATTTTGCCACTCTCCCCTCATGTTGAAGTTGATTCTCACAGGGTGAAAGCTTTTTTTTTTTTTTCTGCTTTTATAGTTCAGGAAACTACTTTGACTCCATTCATCATAACTGACAAGAATGAACAACAGCTGTTATATTGTTTCTGTTCAAACAAGTTTCAGACTTCCTGAAAGTCTTGAGGAAGCTATCAGTTTTAGCTGATTAACACCATGACGGTGAGTAAGGCTTCTGGTAAATCTTTTGACCTTAAAAAGCTGCCAGACACACCACAATGGAAAGGTGTTCAGCGGAGGCTGAAGATGTACTTTGATTAAATCTGTTGTTAAACTGAAAACGCATTGTGATCCTTTGTTCAAACACGCCTGTCATTACACAATATTTACACAAAAGGCCTCTTTAAAATGTGACATTCAGGTGCCACTTTTTTTAAGCCTTTGCAGAACCTCTGGACCTTTTTCTTATTCTACAATAAACCCTGAATTAGGCCTCTTTGTCTAATCTGGATCAGCATGCCCGTCTAACCAATAACCCTCAAAGATATCCCACTTCCTCTTGAAGAAACGTTAATCTGTGCGCACATTTATAGATTTACTATAACACACGTTGGTATGTGTCATCGCATCCCCTGGTTCTGGTAAGTGTGATTTTAAAAGGGTAACAGTTCATTTACTACCAAAGTAACCCCACCCACCTGTCACTTTGCCCTACAGAGATGAGTCAGTGCGGTGATGATACTGTATTTTACCTTCCACACTTTCTGTCTGTCCTGCGACATGTCTCTTCCCACCTGACCCAAACAAAACTTCCATTATAAGATGCAACTGAAGGTAAAGATACTCCAAAAAAAAAAAAAGAAAGGGGAAAATCTTTAAGCTTCACTTAAATATATTTTATTCAAAATATTATTTAAAAAATACACAAGAGTAGAAAATATATAAACAATCAAATCTGTTTGGCAGAAACAGTTAAATAAGAGGTGGTCAGCACCTCTGTATACAGTACATTACAAATGAATATCATGTCTTCAGCTGTTTGCGACAAGATTTCACCTGGACCCTCACTGAATGCGGTTTGAGCCTTCAGTGCTGATGAACATTCAGAGACGATGTAAACTTTTTTCTTTAGAGTATTTAAGTCTGCTACAAATTTGTGCCGCATAGGCAAATCAGCATGCGATGGTTTCAACCGCTCCCTCCACAGCGACTCTAAATATTTTGAAGTCCGTTCCCTTAATGTCGCTCGACGGGATATTGGAACTTTTTGACTTTCCACCGCAACAGTCCCAGTTGTGCTCACTGGTATTTTTATCTCTGTAAAAGCTCCTATAGATGTGTAGTTTCCTTTTAATGCAGCACTTTTCAACTTCTCATACTTCCTCGTTTCCAAAGGATGCTTCTTCCACATGTTATTGGGTTTTAAGTCTCTAGAGGTAGTAGATGTTGAGATGTCATGAAAGTTTAATGTCCAACTGGAGCCTTCATGTGTTTGACTTTGGTTATTGTGGTTCTTTACGAGCAGTTCACAGCTTTTAGTCCAAAAGGAGTTTGTTGATTTTTTTAGTAACCACGGTGATGTAGTCTCTACCTTAGTTCCCTGATGCAGAGACTTTATCAACCCGTTTGCTGTACCGTTACTTGGTGAAAGCTGCCATCTTGAAATCAAGAACAATACAGCCAAAACATTATGCAGACTGTTCATAGTTTGTAAGGGAACTCCAACAGGAAATCTTTGACCACATGCGTGACAGGCAGTTCTGGAATGCCACCCTTTCCTCCGCACACCTCCATGATCCGCTTCCTGCACAGCTCCTGCAGGGTGGGCTCCCATTTCCTGTAGGGGACTGTCAGGCTCTTCTTAGGCGAGTTCATATAATGCTCCAAAAGGGCAAAGAGCGTTGGGAAGGAGCGCTCGTTGCCAGCAAGAGAGAACCTCTGCCGCTTGTAGTCGATGCGCACGCTGACCGGTCCCTTCTTGTCGTGGTAGGACAGAGTGAAGAAGACGTCCTTCTGTCGGCTGTCGCGGATGAGGAAACTGCCCAAGGGGGCGTTGCGGAGCATGCAATGGGCCTCCTCTACTCCAAGTGGGCCCCAGTAGAAGCCGCTGCGCTCGAGCTTGGTAGCTGTGTCTGTGATTAGGCTGCAGTCCTCTTTGGAGGTGAAGGTGCGGAAATGAGTCAGGTACACAGAGCGAGCAGATGCAGATTTCAGGCTTGGATTTGGACAAGCCTGACGCTGAAGCTGCTCCGACTGTTTACGGTTTGCTGATGCTGACGACACAGAAGGTGATGATGATGGTGCTGGTGATGCGCTTGGTAAGGCGGTCCGCTCATGGCCTTCCACTGTGCTGTCGGCTACCATCCTACAGTGGAGAGAGGCCCTGAAACCTCTCCCATCTCTAACCACCACACTGACATCCTGAAGGAAAGAAAGGGAGAACTCAGGTTAGTTATCAAGCAATTAATTAGCAAGTACCCTAATTTTCCCACTGTAGGACAATAAAGGTATCCCTATTCTATTTGCTGTTTTTCTATTCTAATCTAAACCCAAAAAGCAAAGCTTAGGAGTGACATAGGGCTTTTTAAACAATACAAAACAGGAAATAAAGTGTAAATAAAATGTATTTTTGGCTCATCAGCCTTTATAACATAGATATGCATCAGTTTTTTTGTTGTTTATTTTAGTATGTTATACCCTCACTTTTGTTAACTTGAGACCCCAATTCTGGGAATCAGTGCCCAAACACATCAAAGGATGCTGTGCACTATGTTAGTCATGTAATCTTTCCACAGGACGGTGCTGTTCTTGATATCACTGGATTTTGTGGTTTTGCTGCTAAACCCACATCCAATTTAGTGTACTGGGTCTCCATACAGAAACATACACACACACAAATATATATAGTAATTTTTTTCTATTTGAGGGTGGAAACATAATTTGACATCCTGGTTGTCCCCAAAGGGAGGAGAAGAGTCTGCTGTCAGGCTTTTGAGGATGAAATAAGGGAATAATACAAAAGCCAAATTCTTTATTCATGCAGTCAACTTAAAGCCAATAAAGAGGATTCTGGTTCTCCTAGTCATGTCTGATGCAGCATATGATTTATCTTTTACTGTCTGGGTTCACTCAGCAAGTTAAAGGAAATTGGAGCAAAATTCCAGGAAAATATAATGATTAACACGAAGAAGAGTGTCTTAGATTATGAATGCTTTACAGGATTTATCCTTTAGTAGAAGTTTATGATCCTGGATGTTTGCAGCAGCAATGCACTGCTGATTTTCACTTTCTGACTCCATTTATTTGATCCATTTATAGCAGGACTGCAGACAGAATATAGATTTGCACAACTGCAAGATCCATAAAAAAACAGCCTTTCAAAAAAAATCCTATTCCTTTAAAGCAATAATCCATCGTAATCCCTTTTTAGCATATAAATAATTTTAGGAGATCCTCACCGTTTTGTTTCCAGCAGCTGCTTGTTATGGATGCTTTAATCTGTAATCCCAGAGATGCAAGGTTATGATGGTTAAACACAAGGAGCTAATCCTGCAGGGTGTCAGAGGACAGCTGTGCACTCAGCCTCTGCTCTTATAGATCCTCATCCGGCTGTGGCTCCCAGCCGTCGGCTCGTTTGCTTTCCCGTATGAGCGTGTGAAGTCTGCCACAGTCTTTATGTAGCGATCACAGCCCGTCCCCTGAACAACAACACGTGACTTATGCGCCTCCTGTTATTTAGCGGCAGTCCTACAGTTTCTCATAAAATGAAAGTGAAACTCTTTGCTCCGATTCTTATCCCGACTTATCTTTCACTTCGTTTGAACTCTGTTTTAACCGCAAAGCCACATGACAATAGGGCGTTTACAGAAAGACAGGTGACAGATTCGAGTAATTGGAGTGTTTCCTAAATACTTCCAAGTCTGGGCGCCATGGCTTCAGCTTTTGTAATTATTATTATCATATGCACGCATTTAAAAGCATGTATTATATGCAGGATGCAGGCATCACAGTCACACAGACAAGTCTACCAGAATTAATAATAATAATAAAATTAAAATGTTCATAATAAAATACATTTTTACTCTTTAAATTGCAAAACTGCATAAGAAGTATAAGAAAATGCATGTATAATAGAAACTAAAAAGTATAAAACCAGATTTAGAATAGACACATTTGCCTGGGGCCAGTTTTAGGAAACAGACTCATAAACAGAGCCTTGTCCTTGATTATTTAAAAAAAATACAACATTAACACCACATCTTTCTAAAAATGTCTTTATTAATTGACAAAAAAAAAAGGACCAAATCCCAAAAGTTACAATTAACCTGTGGATAGGAAGCCGGAGTACCTGGAGAGAACCCACGCATGCTCAAGGAGAACATTCAAACACCATGCAGAAAGACCCCGGACCGAGAATCAAACCCAGAACCTTCTTGCTGCAAGGCACTGAGCAGCCCTAATCATATTTAGTTACTTAAAAATATTTGTTTCACGTTAGCAGAGTAGGACATAAAAAAATGTGCTAAAGTAACTAAATATGATTAATTTAAAAAACTGTGTTTTTTTTCAGTGGTGACTGTAACAGTCAGATTCTGCACTTTGTATATCAGGCATATAAATACGACATTTAAACTTTACTCATGGAAATTATTGTACGTTGTTTTCTTCTGTCCTTACTCAGAAATCCAGTGATTTTTTTTTCTGTTATAAAAAACAGAAATTCAAAGCTCTCCTGGAGGTTTCATGTGAAAAAAAAAGAACTAGAGATAAATCAGTTGATTTCATTGAAGTCATACATGGCCACTTCTGTTTTTTTATAAAATGAAGGCTCTTCTGCAGAACACAACTGAAAGCGCAAATTCCACTGGAAACATGCTGTGATTCATATCTTTACTCAGAAACTATTGAAGAAGCTATATTTGAGCATTTTTCTTGAGAAATGTGTTTTCTAATATATATATATAAAGGGAGAGATAGGTAGTGAGAGAGAGCCTCCTGAGTTACAATCATTATTTCATTTTTCTTAAGCAACAGTTGCCTTGTTTAATTGCACACCCTATCATGCCTCACATCTGTCAATGTGCCGCCGGCTGTTTGCAGTTACCAAGACCATCAAGCCTGTCATCTAATTATCGTATGTGCAAACATAGCTGACAAATGCAGACAGACCTGTTCCTATCAACACTCATGAAATTTCCTTTTGATGTAATTCATCATTCCTGATTATCCTTCTGTAGTACAATTAAAAGGAATCAGACTTTTGTTCAGGGTGAGAACACCTCACTGATAAAGAATATTTTTGTAATGAGTGGATTAGAAAGGAAATGTAAAGCTAACTTTGAGCTAATAATAATTTTGATATACATAAATCTGTTTTATTCTTTGTTTTGCCATAATGCAGATACATTTCTTTGAACACACAGATAAATGTTGATTTTTTTTTTATTGTTTGTTGCTGTACTACTTTGTGATCCACCATATTGTCCACCCTGACCCCCCATTTTACTTTTGGATTTGTCAGAACATTCCTGACTAAATTTACTACTCAAAGAGAAACTAGATATCGTATTCCAAGAAAACACAAACAGCCAAACGCCGACCTGTTGGCGCTTCATAGCTTCCCAGCTGGAAGAACAGAAAGTTAAGGAAACATGTCAGGTCAGTTAAAGGGGCAGGTCTAAATTATTTTATTCAGGCTGTTAAATTGAGCTCAGAGTGGTTTCGTTTGGCTTTTAAATAGGATCCAGACTCGTGTGCAGTCCTGGTTTACCCTATAAATTGTGTGCATTTTCTGCATCTCATAGATCTAGATTACAGTGAAATGTGAATGCACTTCTTTCACTAGAAACAGGCTTGCAAGATGTAAATATACCCCTTATTGGGCCCCCTTTTGCATGAGTTTGGTTAGAGTTTATGCAACCATCAGAAAGCATTCTATGCATATCAGGTCCCCTTTCTGAGCTTTCGTGTTCTTACTTTTTTTTATTGGATCAATGCTGCTCAGACCTAAAACGGGGGAAAAAGAAACTCAGCCAGGCGGAGGGAGGGATTTAATAATAGGCTGGATCTAGTGCTCTTCAGCCTAATGAGAAACACATCCCATCTGTTCTGTTTCACTGTGCATATTCTGCGTGACTTTTTTGGGGTTTCATTTGGGATTTCTGTAGTTTTACCTTCAGTGCTGTGCAGTTTTTCAGATATAGAGCTTGTGACTTGTTGATTATGATCACATACTCCATGTTAATTTGGACACACGCACCTTCACTATAAGTTTCATTTCTGTTAAAAGAGGAGAGACCAAATAAGCGATGGCAGTGTCGTGTGTGTGTGACAGAATCAGATTGCGTCCCTCTATGTTGTTATAAAAATGATCTCCTGATAGCCCTCTTTTGCATTCCATAAATATATATATATAACTAATGTTTGTGCTCTTTTTATTTGTTAATCCGTAAGTTTCAGCTTTGCACCTTTCTTTACACTTTGGGTCTTGTTTTACTACGTTATTAAAGCTGTGTCTCATGTAGTGTCTGATATTTTGCTTTGAACCGTTTCATTTGAATCTTAGCAAATGAATGAGCATGAGCAAGTCATGACACGTTTTTATCTTCCCTGCAGGAGGGTGCTGCTGTTTTAACCTTTTTTTCTTTATGCTCTGGAGATCTGCACATATAGGGTGCTTTGCCAAACAACTGATACGCATTGAATGTTTTCATATAGATTACAACTAAAACGCTAAATGTAATTTATCAGTGTTTTGGATTAAATACCAAGAAGATATTTCTCTCAAAAACATGCATGTGAATAGCATGTTGCAAAGCTGTACTTTCCCTCCTCATGACCTTGTAGACTACAATTTGCTGCAGTTACCCCTGCAAGGCTTCACTGCTATGTCTCTTCCAACCATAGCCAACCATTTAAGCTTTATGACAATTCAAACGGTTGATTGGAGTCTTGCCACAGATTCTCAACTGGATTTATTTCTGGATTTAACTGGACTGCTCTAGCACATGGATAGTCTTTAACCATTCGATTCTAGCTCTAATTGTTTGATTAAAGTTCAGTTGGAAGAATGACTTCATCCCAGTTTAACGTCTTGCAGGCATTACCAGGTTCACCTTGTATTTAGCTCCATCCATCTTCCTATTTCCTTTTACCTCATTCTTACTGAAAAAAAGCATCCATGCAGAAAAATGCTTCCAGCACCATGTCTATAGATGATGATGATGGTGTCTTTTTGGTTATATGCACACTAAGACCTCTGTAATACATACCAATGAAGTTCAGTTTCTAATTGAATTTTGCAAGAAACTTTCTTTTAATTCTATCCAACTGCACAGAGTTTGCACTCTGACTTTGCAGCATTCACTTTACTATTGGCCTTTTTTGTCCTTTGTTCTCAACAGCTTTACCCCTGATCTGACTGGTGTGGTGCCTGGTTGTCTTGGCAATGTCTCTTCACAAATGTTAAATAAACAGCTTGATAGGACAGCTGGATTTCTTATAGTGATGGCCTTTATTTAGAAATTGGGTGTTTTTTGTAGGTTGGAGAGGATTTTATAGGAGGCTATCAAATAAAAGGGAGCCACTTTTACAGGGAAGTTTGAAAATGTGAAATAGCATGAGGATTGTACAAGTTACTGCTTCTGAAATACTCCTAGCCTGCAGAGTGAGGTGTCACGGTCTGCAGGCTAGGAGTTGTGTTCCTGTCACGTGCAGGAACACAACTCTATGATCATGTGTAAATGCTGTGTCACTTTTGTTTGTCTAAAACAGCCGTCAACCTTTGTTTAAATGAGGTGCAGCTATTTTACTCAGTGTCCATCTGTTCCTTTGTAAAAGGTTTCCTTTAATGTAATATGGGAATTTTTTTCCCTTCCCAAAACCCTAACAATTTCCTTGTTTAACTCCCATCTGTCAATGATAAGCTCTTGACAAGGAAACAATCATATTCAATCCCTGCCTGCGTTTCGTTGATCCGCTCTTGCTGCTGCTCTTCTCCATAAATGTCCATAAACTGCCAGCGCAAAAAGAAACTTACCTCCCCTCTGTCCGTATTGCTTCACCACAGGGAGGACTTTCTTACGGTGGCTGAGAAGTGCAAAACACATTTACAATTCAAAAACACATTAACAAATAAAAAACAAAATAACATTTGAAGAAACAAAATTATATTTTGTGAAACAAATGTATTTTTGAAAAAAAAAGTTTAAATTTTTAAAAACAAATTTACATTTTAGCAAACAAATTTACATGAACAAATAAACAAAATAACATTTGAAGAAACAAAATTATATTTTATGAAACAAATGTATTTTTGGAAAAAAAAGTTTAAATTTTTAAAAACACATTTACATTTAAGGAAAAGAATTCACATTTTAAATAAGTTAGATTTTAGGTGAGAGAAAGTTTCATTTTAGAGAAAAAAAATACATTATAGGGAAACAAATTTACATCTAAAAAAAAATTGACCGTTCGGAAACACTTGTACAAGTGCAAAGACAAAACTGCAGGTGGCAAAACACATTTACATAGCCAAAAACAAATTAACAGAAGACGGCTACACGGAAAGGGAATGTCCCAGTGGCCGGATGTGACGTCACGATTACCCTGACTTGTAGTACAAACAGCTCAATCTGTAGTCCTCCTGCTTCACGTGAAAAGTCAGC